CATTTTCTGTTTATTTTATTTTAAACTAATACCTATATTTAGGACATGACATGTATTTTGAATTGATTTTCTTTAAATCTTTCCAACAAGTACATTTTTATATGATATTGTTTGTGAGTACAGCAGGCGTGTAGCCAAAACCTCCAAACTATATTGTATTTTAAGTAAATGTTTTTGTTTTTATCAACAATAAATTGTAAGATTTACCATTTAGCAATTTTAAAATTTGATTTATTTTTCTTTGTAATGTTATCTATGAAGGGAATAACTTAACTTAACAATAAAACTAAAAAAAAGTCAGATATAAAAATCCAGAGGATATGTTTTTTTTTTATTACTTGAACAATAAATTGTGAAATTTACAATTTTGGCAGTTTTATATATATAGTTTATATATATATATTCCACTGTGCTTCATCTGGACTGATCAGTTCATCGAAACATTCACACAACCTTGTCACCGATTTCTATGTTTATTCCCTACAAATACTAATGTCAGCATTTTTTTTTTGTCACAGTGTCACATGTACCGCACTGCAAAGAACTGATCTGCAAAGTTTATATATGAGTGAAACAAAGTTTACTCTGAAAACAACAGTGTGTGTGTGTTCGTGCATGTGTGTGTGTGTGTTTTGGGCAGGTGTTTGCTCTTTTTTTTCTATGCAAGCGGAGGCACAAAAACACATCAGGAGGCGGGGGAATATTGACTAGGCCGTGTCTCCCTCACACTCGTGTTTGGTCGGCAGGCAATCTACCAACCGTCAATCACAGGGAGGCGACCCAAGTTGGGAACCATCAAACAGCCTGACTTCTGGTGTCAGTGCTGAGGGGGATCTATTTCAGCGTGACACGCCATCAACAGCAAATCTAAAGAGGGCTCCATTGTCAGGGAGCAGCAACACACACACACACACACAGATACATATATTCATGAATAAGCGACTATATTTGCACACACATGCCTGCACTCTGCACATATCTACATGTTTAATTCTAGGTTTGTAGACGTGTTTTGTGCATCTTGGTTTTTTTTTTTGTTGTTGTTGTTTGTTTGTTTGTTGATCACAGACACACACTTGACTTTAAACCTAGAAATGTTCATTGAGTGTTTTATACTCCGTCCCCTCCATAGATTTTTTTTTTTACTCATCCTAAAGGCAATTAAAATAATGTTTATCCTGCGAGCCACACACTCACTTCCCTGTGTGTGGTTTGAATGAGACAATAATAAAGCATCCGTGCCCTGCGGCCTTTATAATCATCTGAAATCGATTGATAGAAAATTACTTTTCCAGCCATAATGGCATCACACTTTCCTTAACCTTTGAACCCGTGCCACTGTTGCCCCTGGCTCTTCAGCAGCCGCGGATGGTAAAGTTCAACATGACATTCAGACACAGTTAAGTGCTCTCAAGCTTTGAATACAATTAAAGGGTTACGCCGTCTTTTTCCTCTGAGAGAGTGACTGGTGCAGGCCTCACGGGAAACGCAGTGTTAAATAAAAATGCAAGTGATGTTGTTTTCAAAGAACCTGGGAAAGAAGAGAAGCATGATTGTTTGTGTGTGTGTGTGTATAATTAATCAGATAAAAAAGTTTAATGCAAAGAGTATCCAATGATTACCCTGTGCAAACACTCACTGTTGCTGTTATACACAGTCAATACACACATTGCTGGGAAACGTTTTTGTTTCAAGATAAAGAGCTAACTTTAAATCAGCATGTATTTGTGGATGCTTCAACTTCAGGTCAGACACTTTGCTTGTGTCAGACCAGACTCACTGAGAGCAGACTGACACAATTGACTGACATCTATCTATCTGTCTGTATGTATGTATATATGGGTGTGTGTGTGTGTGTCTCAGTGGCAGTATCCCATTGGTTTCTCTAAAGGCCCATGTAAACTATTCAGTACCTTTAACAGCCCCAGACCCACACTTTAACCCTCCGAGTACTCTGGATTATTTAAACACTGCTCCTGAGTTCACTGATAGCATGTCTTGTTAGTATAAGTTATTACCTGAAGAAAACCTATTGAACCTGATTTAAATGTACAGCCTTATGCATATTGATTATCTGAAAACCATTAACGGGCGATCACAGGGCAGAGACACATCTTATTGTTAATTATTTCTTAGACACAGACAGTGGGATGAGACGGACAGTGGAGTGATTTCATTACACTGTGGCGCAGCAGAGGATGTGAGGCATGAACTCTGTAGTATGGCCACACCAGGTTTCAGTGTATTTATAAGGAGTATTTTTTGGAGTATTTGTCATTTTTTACTTGTACATTAATGCAATAATATATGAGAGGGCAGGAGAAGATCGCACTCACATCAGCTGCCAGAGTTTTGTGGACCACCATCAGTGACAAGTGCCTGCAGTGAGGCCAAGGCATGATTCACAGCCGCCATTAATCTCTCACTTATCTCTGCAGTCACTTCTTAGTTTCTATTATTTTAAAAATGTTCTTCCTGTAACAAAAAAAAAAAAACACAACAAATTGAGGAGAATTCCTGTAGTATACACGCCACACCAGGCAAATACCAAAGAGTAAAAACAGCGGTGCTGTACACCAGGGCAAATGAGTGAGCCTCCATCAGTGGTGAGTGTTGACAGAATGAGACATTGTACTTTTGAGCCATGAAATTACAGGCTGGTAAGCCCAAGGCAGTCGCCAGGTGTGACTGATGTGATCGGGGCTTGCCTGGACAAACGCAGCAGCGCACGCACCAACATTCCTGGTTGTCACTCATTTCATAGATCTCCAGGATATAACTCATCAAAAGCAGCAAAGATGAACGATAAAGCTAATTGATGTATGTGTATAACGCACCCCCCCCCCCCCCCCCCCCCCCCGACACACACACACACACACACACACCACCACCACCAGATTAAAATTATGTCGGAGGAAATTAACTTCGTACGTGGTGCGGAGCAAACGGCTGACAGAGAGTTAAGAGAAAGTACATTTTTAAACATTTCCAGCACTGGTCCCTGTGTTTTTAAGGGACCGTGGTGATTTTACCTCGCTTTCAACTTAGTATTGATTTTTTTGGGTGATGCAGTATAGACATGGGATTAGGGACTTCTGTAATAGCTGCAGCTGTAATTCTTTTGGGTCTGAGCTCTTTTCTTTCTGTTGTAGTTTACCTGCGCCTTTATTAGCCCGGCTGCTGCACTACTGGAAAAATGAGCAACAACAAAATAAAATGATGACAAACAGTCAGAGTTAGTGCTTCTCTCAACGTCTTCAAAAAAAAAAATAGAATTATTGTTTAAACTATTCTAGTACTTAACTGTTGTGCTTAAATTATTTTCCTCTTTAAAAAAATGTTTAAGGCTCTGTAACGTGTGGATGGAGAGTTGTCTCTGTGGGGACGGTGACTACACTGTTATCCACTGTACTCTGACAATTACAGTGAATCAAAGCACTTGTGTCGGCCTTTTAAACTTCTCCATCCCTGGATCCCACACCTGTCCTCAGGGCTCCAAGATTTATGTCTCTGTCCGGCTGCTGAGACACTGTGGTCCTTATTTACAACACAGCACTGTCTCTGTCTGTGCTGCTGACAGTGTGTGTGTGTGTTCGTGTGTGGGAAAATGAACTTTTTTAAGTGTCTCTATCGTCTAACAACCTCTGTGCTGGAGGGACAGTCCAGGAAAGAAAAGTTACACTGACCAAATGTAGGTGATCGTTAGAATTAGTTTCCCTCAGATGTCAGTTTGTGACTAATAAAGAGGTGAATTTAAAAGTTCCTAAGGCTGTAACGCTCCTCCTTGGTTGAGGATTTATAAAAAAAAAAAGGAAAACATGTAGCACACGTCTCGCACGTAACAACCGACCTCGAGTGTGGAGATTTATTTTTTTAACATTAAATTTGGAGTCAAACCCCTTCACCCCATTACTAAAAGCTTTTCAAATGAGTCCCTTTGAAATAACAACACTTGTGACTAATGGCTTTATTAAAATTGCACACTTCTTTTTCCTTGTTATTGTGATGATGATCATATTATAGTATTAATGAACAAGGAATATGAGAAAGTAATTGTCGTGATAATTAGGTTTAGTTTAAGGATTTGTATTTATTGAGAGTGGCAGGGACTAATCCCAGCAGTCATCAGGTCAGGGTGTGGGTACACACTGGACAGTTAGCTGGTCCATCCTGGGACATTTATAGAGACAATCAACAGATAACATCTGAAGGTCAGTTTAGAGAGTCAAAAATAACAGTCTGGAGGTTGGTTCTTTACCTTACCATGTCGGAGGGATGCAGGGATGGGGGAGGGTGGGATATGAGTCCCGAACTTGTTAACTTAACTGATGTAATAAAGTTACTTCTATCTTTTTCTTGCCCCATCGTTTTTGTTTTTGCTAAATGTATCTGCTGTCCCTCTACCTTAAGATTTGCCAAATATAGACTTTGATTCTTCAGTGATATACAAGATTTTCAAAGTAAAACTATATGAAAACAGTCCAACTTGTGTTTGTTGACTGCCGTCTCTGTTCAAACCTGAAGTTTAAACTCCTCTGGCTCCACACAGGAGTGCATTCTTCAAATGCCAACAACAATTAGAGTCATTCCTTCTCCAAGCCGGTGTGACACACTCCTGATGGTGATAATATGCTGTCCTCATAAATGTGATGGGCTTTTAAAGGACCCACAGGACGTTGCTTAAATCCATCTGAAATATGCATAATGTTTCCCCCCCCTCACCGTCTCCACTGGAGGAGGGTGAGGAGGAGGGTGAGGGTGAGAGTCATGTCCTATATATGAAGCCTACTTCATCACAGTTTAAACCAGATTATTAGACCACAGCTTCACGTTGATCTACTGCTTTAAAAAAAATGACAGAAAATACCTGTGCCGTACTTAAATAAAAATTTAATTTTTTTACAAATGGCTGTAATTCAAGTTTTTTATATATATATTTTACTCACAAAGACACTCAGCAAACCAACCATATCTTTTCTTTTCTTTTTTCCAAAATAAAGCAGTGAAGGAAAATTTAAGCTGCTCAGTAAAGCAGAAGGAAGTCGGCAGTTCCACCAGGCCATCGAGGAATGGAGTCGTGCGAGTGAATATTGAGCCTTAAACTGTAGCTTTTAAAAGGTAAATGGAGTCAAAATGCCTCAACCAGTAAATTTGCCCTCAGAGACCAGAGGGAATGTGTAGCGGGCAGAATAATACATGCGGGTGAGGAGGGGTAATGAATTGGAAGGGATGTAGAAAATGTGCAGCACTTGAGCACGACCCTTTGAAATGGATGTGGAGCGTCCTGATCCCTGGAAGAGGACTCTGGTTTAGCTGAGTCTGTGGCGGAGACTCAGTGAATATGTTCATTGTAATTTGTATTGGTATTGGCAGCCGCAAAGTTAAGACTAAAGATCTTGTAGCTACAGTAAGACGGTCAGTTTCCTCTGTGTGGTGGCAGAGATGTGTTGTGAGATCCATGACCCTTTGTTCTTTCCAAAAATGTATGAATTTATTAACTTTTTTTAGTGAAGATTCTAGAAGGTCATTAGTGCACTGATGAATTGAGAAACATTTAGTAAGCGTTCAAGATGGCGCCTCTCTAGCGGCAGCCAGGTACAGTAGTTTTTTCTTCATACTTCATATTTAAATGTACACTGTGACGAAATATAGAATCACGTTTAATTTAATGCATTTTGAGTTTGTGGAAGAAGACACTGTGGGGAAGATGTGTGAAGAGATGCGTGTCGTCGACATATAATTGAATGATAATTCTGGTGTTTAGAAGGGAACTTGCAGGTATCATACAGTATTTGCAAACAGTGTTTGTATTTTCATTCATTGGTCAGAGCCATTTTAGGTGTGATTTTCTTTTTTCTTTTTTTTTTAGCAGAAAGATACCAGAAACACAATTAGAAGGAATTTGTAGTGCTTGAAACTAGATCTAAAATCCAAAATAAAATATATATATATATATAATATAATAAAAATTGATGGCAACATTTGGCCAAATGTAACATAAAATTAAATTAACATAAAAATGTTTACAGCACATGTAGGTTATATCTGTAATTTTGTATTTATTTGTGCAAGTTGCCTTATCTAAAGCAGTAAAAGCCATATTTCATTATGGGCTGTGGAATGATGTTCCCAATTTCCACAGGACACTCAAGTCTGACTAACACTTGAACTGCGTGTCTCTCCTGAGGTCGTCTGAACTTCGCTCCCGTCAAGTGATAAAATATTTAGCATTACAATAGCAGGCTCTTTAAAGAAGGAGGGTGTCACTGGCTCAAGTCCATTGTTGTGTTTCGGTGCTGTTATTCTTTATGTGGACCCTTAACAGTTGTTGTATTATTTTCATCGTCACCTTTACACTGACCACTTTGGAAATGTAAAGTAATGTTGTGTATATTTGAACTCATGGAAGTCTGACTTTTTATCTTTCTAAAAGACGTTGCCGTAAAACAAAAACGCTTATTTCCTGGCAGAATACAATCTGACTTTTTTATAGTAGTGTTGAAAAATAGATAGATTTGGGGACAGTGCACAGTTTTGTGTTCAATATATGGGCCCTCATGTGATAAATTGAACGTTATTCATATATGAGTGCACACTGTTTTTTTGGTTATTCTGCACAGAAGTTGCCTCTTACTACCCAGGGACCCTTCCCCTTTTAACTGAGGAGCAGTTCAGGAGAGGATTAGAGGAGAGGAGAGCAGAGGAGGGTGTGGGTGTGTGTTGGGTGGGTGGGGAATCTCTACAGACCTTGATACAATTACTGTGCTTTCCTCTCTCCTTCCGCACCACTTCTGGCCACGCTCTCACTGCGCCGCTGGGAATAGAAAGGCCCTGCTATCTGGCAGAAGATTTGGTCAGTCAGGCATCAAATGCAGGGCCCTCTTCTCACACTCTGTGCCGGGGGTAGGCAGCCTGGGGGAGGCGGGGAGCTGCATTGTGCATTTTCACACACTTCTCTCAGAGGGGCCACAGGAATCTTTGCCTCCGAAAGGAAAGTAGAGAGAGGTAGAAAGTGATGGGTTGAACGAGGGGAAAGGAGATAAAAAAAAAAGTAAGTCCAGGGGCTGGACAAAAAAAAACAGGCTGCAGGCAACCTTGAAGAAACAAATAACAGCTTTTCATACATTACAAGGGTCCTGTCTGTGTTTTTCCTGCTCTTATAAAGCACCACCACTTCTGTCTGAAAGGTGAAGATGGTTTTATTCAGGGGTTTCAAGTGTTGACCCTTTGTGGGTGTGTGACAGTAATGGCCGTGGGCTAAAGGGCTCAAGGTCAGGGTGAAAGCAAGGAAATGTATTTCATGGTTCCAGGGCACAATACTTCTACAGACACGAATGTCACACAAGCTTCTGTTTTTTTCCTTCTTCGTCTTGAAGCGGAAGTGTATGAAAAGGTGTAAACCCTCTGGCAACAAATCCCCATCACCGGGGAAAGAAAAGCTCTCATTTCCCTCAACTATCTTTTCTGGAGAATGTAATTATTTCTCTGATCAGCTCAAACTTTTTCCTTTTCTATTCTTTTTTGACACAGGGCAAAAGGCCAACATGAATTATTTGTCTGAAGTCACTGGGGCAAAAAGAAAGAACAGCAGAGGCAGTGAAGGAGTTGAAGCAGAAGACAACCACCAAACTGGTACTGTTGTTTATTTCAATCCTAAATATGCAAATATATATCAAAAATGGTCTTCATAGATTTTCCGGATGATGAGGCACAAGAAAGTTTGATTTGGTTTAACCTCTGATATTCAAAGTATGGTATTATAACACAATGGCATTTAGACATATAATTATAAAATATGTTGTAGCATTTTTTTCTAAATAAAAAAGTCAAAATTTTAAAATCCAAGTAAAAACAAATTCTTGTGAAAGGTCGAGGTCAACAATGTAAAACTTTAAAAAATACTGTCGTGCTGACAGAGTTAAACCATGTAACACGGCAGTCCAGTTGTCATACAACATACTGAGGCGATGTTCTTTTTCCTGCTATGACAAATACACTGGTGGAAGGTGTTGTAGCAGCCGACAGAACCAGAGGACATAAATGATAAGAAGCTGACACGACACCTGCTGTTTACCTGCACCACTGTGGGCTACAGTGGTCAGTAATGGAGGAAATGGTCTGACGGTGGATGACATGCAGTCAGTGATCATGTCTTTGTAGTGGGGGCAGAGGGGATGATGGGTAATGTCATGACTTTGTGTTACACAGTTACATAGCACTGTATCTGAAAACTAAACGTTATACTGTAGACTCACTGATGTGAGACGTTTCAGTCAAGCGTGACACACACGTGACTAATCTGTGTTCGTTTAATTGTTTTATTGCCATTTATTAAAACGGGGGTATTTATACACGCAGTGTATACGTATGTTATAAAGACTATACAAGATTGAGTTTTTGTTTTCAAGGCAGTATTGGCAGGATTGGGTTTTTGTTTTCAAGGCAGTATTGGCAGGACTATTTCAGTCTAAGAAGAGATACAATGAATATGGGAAGAAGAAAGTGAAAATATTACCTTTAAAAAACATCTCTACCATGGTCGCTGATGAATTATAGAGGCCAATGTTTGTGACACTCTAGATTCTGTTTAAATGTGTTTTTCTCTCAGAGACTGTGGAGCTGAAGGAGGTACACAACACTCCTCTCACAGTTAACACTGGTCTTCCTGAACAGTACAGTACAGTATTCCGTGATACTATCCGTGATGTGTGGAATGATTCAGTTTTCTTTAAAAAAAAAACCCATTAAACTATGTTGAAATGTGAAGGGAGAATTAAACAAAAGAAAGGATGTAAATTATGAAGTGTTTTTTGACCCAAATCTCAAGCTTTTTAATGAACAATGAAGACCCTAAAAGGAAGAACATTAGAAATCCAACACCGGTGCATCCGCTGAGGTTAAACTCATAGAGAACTGCAGGTGGAAAAACCATGTCCTGCCCACATCTGCCATAGCTACTCCTGCTTTACCTGAATGACTTTTATGCAGAAGAGAGGCAAAAAGCATCTGCATGTTAAATTTCTATTAAAATTGTATAGTATTATTACCTTCAGGTAGAGGGGAGTATTCAAATGCATCCATTTCCTCTTGTTCAGCTTTTGAGTGATTGAAGGAACTTGTGATTGGGTTTCCACATTGTGCTCACGTCTGCACATGCCATCTCTTATCTCCCTTGATATTAACATGGCTCTTTCATTAGAAACTCAGCCCATTTTCTGGTTTATGGGGTAAAATCAGATGCAGAATGAGACAATAAAGTGCATTTGTGTTTCAGTGGATGCATTTATGAATAAATGATTGTAAGTGCCTGCCTGGGCCATGTTGTCTTCGCAAAGATAATCACTGCTTATAACACATTCTCTGGCTGGCCCTGAACGCAGATCCGCTCTGTGCACCACTTCTATTATGTCGGTGAACGGTGAACGAGGACTTTGACTTTATAACATCAGTGTGCATCAGAAGGAGACATGTGTTGGAGGCGGCAAAAAAGGAGAAAAATTAGTCATTTTTGAGAGAAATGCTGTTATTACAAAAATGGCCACGGAAATGTGTAAATGTGGTGAAAGAAAAACACAGAGACAGTGTTTACAACTGAAAAGGCTCTGCTCACTTTCTGTTCAGGCAGTGATTGATATGTTACTATGCAGAAAATTACATTTTAATTTTCTTAAATTCATTTCATTTGATATTTAGTCTGACCTTGATTAGTTCATAGTTCTACTTCACAGGACATTAACTGACAAAGTATCAGTTTCATTACTTGGTGTCAACACTGAATGAAACTAATAGTACTTTTATTGGTATCAGGAAACCCCTAGAGTTATGACAGATTAAAATTTAAATTTAAACCTCCATAATTAGGAACAAAATGAAGCTTTGAGTTCTTCGAAAGTGTCTTAAACAAAAGGTTATTTCCAAGGTTTACGGGTTAAACTGTTGTGTGATAAACTGATCAACCGGCATCTGTATACATGTATTTGTCACCACACAAAGTACCATCTGTTTACATTCTGTTGTACTACACGGTTGGTTACAGTTTAGTGCAACTTTAATAGACTGGTGTGTGAGCAGCTCCATCTCCACAGCAGTAATAACTAGAGGCATAAAGCTTGTTGAATAGTTTTTTAATAAACCTGCAGGTCATACTTATGTTACTTATGTTTTTTTTTTTTATTTCAACTACTTAAAATAAAAAAAATAGGTTATTGCAGTACTGAGCATTACTTCACAGCAGTGAGGAATAGATGCAGCCACAGCGTTAAAGACCTTTGAGTATTTTCACCAGTATCTCAGACTCCGTGTCACTGACAGACATGTACTGAGTCCAGGAGAAGAACAAGAGAACACGACCGCAACACCAAGATTTACAAGACATATTTTTTGGGAGTTTAGGATTTGCCACGCAGTACTTCAGCGTTTCCCTTTCCCGGCCAGTTGCTAAGGGAACACCTGCAGATAACTAGTTAAGAAGTGCAGCGAAGATGCTCCCGCTGTGGTGATCAATTATGGATGTGCTGAGAGAACTTTGACATGTTAAACCTCTTACGGAGGTTGGGGAGGAGAAAGAGTGACAGAGGGAAGGAGAGACAGACGGAGGACAGGGTTAGGAGTCGGAGACTGAAAGGCTTTGATAGATTCCCTGTGATATTGTATCACACATTTTTGTGTGTTTTTCAGTGGATTATACACAAAGCTTTATAATATAAGTGAGTTGAATGGTTGATAAAGCTGTGGTCGATAAATTATGAAAAACTGAACCATTGTTAAAGTCCATTGTTAAATCCATTATCTTTTGTGGGACTAAAATACTCAGTTGTTATAATGGGATTCCCCAGAGTCCATTGTTAAATCCATTATCTTTTGACATAAGAAGTTCTACTAATTTTAAACCGAGTTTTTGACTTTTTTACATTTTGTATTCATACCAAATATACATTATGTAGTATATTTACTTTAAAAACATATGGGTTTTTTTTTTATTATTCAAAAGACTGCTGACATAAAAAAAAACCTCCCTAACCTTTTGTCCTATTGTACTGTTCAACCTCTGCTACATACAGACACACTTGGTAATATAAATGGATACATTAGAAGAACCAAGCTGCAACCTGAGAAAGAGCACATTAAAAGGAAGTGATTTGAAAAGCCAGCTAAGCTTGTAAAGACAGGGAATGTGTACTAGTTTGCACAAACAACCAAATAAAAGAATTGATTACCACAACAACTTCATCTTCAACAGCAACATCAGAAGTCACCGTTTTATACAAACCCCCCCCGACCCCCCGAGGGAACCTGGTCTACAATCCAACCCATGCAAAAACCATTACAGCTTTAGGGCCAGAAAAGTAGAAATGAAAAAAAAATCATTGTGTTGGTCAAGAGAAGAAATAAGAAATACATTGGGAAGATCGTTGGAGATCAATATTCCATTTGGACTCCAAGACTAGACTAGACACTAGATAGGCTAATGTTTCTCTGGATAAGCATTTTGTTGGTGTGTGTGGTGTATGTGTGTGTGTGTGTGTGTGTGTGTGTGTGTGAGAGAGTCTGTAATAGAATGCTCGTTTCTATGACTGTAGAAGGAGAAACACGATTTCTATTGAAAAGCCTGGGAGCAGCTTGGGGCTTCATGTCACAGTGTGAGTTTCCCTGTGCAGCTGTCCTCACAGTGAAGTCGAGTTTTTTTTTTTTTTTTCATTCTTCACAGAAAGGAAAAAGAGAAACTGAACCAGAAAATAGTTTTTTAATAATGTTGTGAAACTGCTGCTTCAAGGTAAATCACAATTTCAAAGTTGACAACATTTCTACAAATATTTTGAATCAAAGCACCCAAGACCGCCAAGGGAGTGGTTCCAAAATAGGGGATATGGCCACCTACAGGGGAAAAAAACTATTGTTGTAGAAAAACGGCTGAAAGGAAATTTTAATGTTTATTTTTTTTTGTCAAATGTAGAAATTGCCCTTTTATTATTCTACTTGTTAGATGTGATATAATAAAGTTGGAGGAGTTCTGCCAAAAGAGCTGCGAATGTACAGATATGTTGGGGGAGAAAGGGTTCAAAACTAGCAACTAACAATACCCATTTTTGGGTAACTTGTCAAGGACACAAAGGTTAAAAATTCTAACAAGTGGCTCCGCCTCCACCTCCAACTACAGCACCTTCTGATCTGCATGGATGCTGCGTCAATAACAGTGAACGTGTCTGTTGTTGTTGCCGGTGTCACCTCAAAGTTATAGCTCAAATTTGGTGGGATAAGAAACACCTTCCTCTTTTCATTTACCCCCCCCCCCCTCTACTTGCCTCATACACACACACACACAAACAGAAATACAGACGCACCCACACACGCTCCTCTTTGAGGCTCATTAATCAACCGCAGATTATCAGGGAAGTGACACCTTCGTGATTACAATGTTTCTGGGAAACTTTTTTAATATGAGTTTAGTTGGGAAGAAGATGCAAATTAGCAGCTTACTTCAAAGTGCAACACAGTTATTATTCCCAGTACGGCGGAGTGAGGTGGGTGTCATATGGTTGAAGAAAAACTCCACAAACTTGAGCAACTTCAACACCATAATGCCCCACTGTTGGCAGCAGACCTGGGGTTATAGTGTCTGTAAGGACGCAACATACAAAGGCAACATATAATAATGATGGTGCAGGGAGTAGAAATGCAGCAGTCGTTAAACTCTAACTCTCAAATTGTGATTTTTATTGTGAAGGGATTGCATTAGACACTTCCACAAAGTCTGTAAACCTAACTTCAAGTTTAGGATTACTCAGAAGTAAGTTTTCTGAGAGTGTAAAACCTATGCCTCATCATACAGTAGGTACCTCCAGAAAGAGTCTTATATTCTGTCAATATATAATTTAATGGATCGTGAAGCAATTTTCAACAGGACTAGGTTTGTAGTAGATCTGCAAAAAAAAAGTGTGTTTGTTTTTGACTGGCCAGCCTGCACTCCAGATACATCTCCGTTTGGAAATGTCTAGGCACTTATTTAGAAAAGAAAGATTTCAACCAGTTCAAGTCTGTTACAGTAATTTCTTTGTGGAAAAATAGCTTTAAAATTATTATAAAATCAATTTATTGTGAAGTTGATTTGTTGTTCATTATGAGATTGATCTGATCCTGACTCCTGTCATTAACTGGTTCAACCGTGTGTTTTTTAATTGATAATATCGGGTCAGAAAGGCAGTGACAAGCCCACCCTGAACGTGTGCAGCATTACTGCGTCTCCACATCTGTCCAAGAAAAGAAAAACAGAAGTATTTTAATCTTTAAACGCTAAACAAGCATGAACTCCCGCTGTCGCCTTCATTTTCTGTCTAAAAGCATATACTGGTGCGCTTAAATATTTCATCACAGGCGCCCGGCGATAACACCGGGTAGTAGCGGATAAGGAGAAGGGGAATGTGCGGGATGAATGGCGGGAGGAGTGGGTTTTAATTTGTTAGTCTGTCGATCATGTATTTTCTTGCCACCGTGTTCGACTTAACGCCACTTTGAGAAAGGCTCCTGTAAAGTTTTTACTGGGAGGCTCTGGAGATGAATGCATGACACACACACACACACACACACACCGCTCTTTCACTCTGTGTGTGAGAGAGTGAGTGAGTGAGTGTACACTCTGTGTGAGAGAGTGAGTGAGTGAGTGTACGGTTGAGTGCCTCAGACGGGTGTTTAATGCTATAAAGTGGCATTAGAATTAATGCAAATAACTCATTGGAGCCCTCTCCCCCACCGCCCCTCCCTCCATCCCTCCCTCCCTCCACCCGGTCCCTCCCTCTTCTTCTTCTTCTCCTCATAGCGTTAATATGGTCATTTGCTTGGAGCTACTAAACCCCTATAATTCAATTTGTCAAATTGAATGGGAGATCATGCATTATAGAGCCCGGCCTCCCACAACGCCGCTGCAGATGAATAAATAAATACATATATGAGAGATGAAATAAAAGTGACTTTTTATTATCATTATTTTTACTTAACAGAAGCACTCACCGCCTTAGTGGGCCTTCATTATTAATTCTTTCATCTGTAAATGAAAGTGAGCAATTATTACAAGGTGCCGGTATCATATTATTATGTTGGCCCGGGTTCCCTAGATGGTCATCAATCACTCTCAATCGACCTGTCACCGGCAGGCAGAGATCCAGCTGGAGAGGAGGAAAGAGAGGAGGAGGAGGAGAGGGAGAAGGGGGAGTACATCATCATTAATTTGAGGAGTGACCCCCGGGGCTATCCGCGTGTCTCAACCCGGGATTCTCTAAGCAAGGCAGTGCGCACCGGTGTCGGGGAAGTGGCGAGTCACTTTGGGGTGTTTTGGACAGTAACTGGGGTTGTTAATACTCAGCATAGATAGATAGATAGATAGATAGATAGATAGATAGATAGATAGATAATCGATTCTGATTGGACGTCCATGAAAAGCCTATAGTTGTTCCAACTACAGTCCTCTGAACACACATGAACATCCATTTCCACTACAATTCTCTTGAGACCCACGTGTGACCAAAAATGTTATCTTGTAAATGTCAAGAAAAAATAAAAAATAAAAATATATAAACATAATTAAAATGACAAATGTGGCTTCTAACGCTCGACTATCTCCAGTGTTCTCTTGATATAAACATATTCTTGACTAATTAGTTTAAAATCAATGACTTCTGTTTGATTAGCATCAGAGTGCAGTCACTGTAGGAATGTGCTGGGTTTGATTTGGTGTAATTCAAATTCAAAAACACAACGTGTGCATATCCGGTGACACTGATTGGCCCCCAATTGATTGATGGAGGCTGTAAATTAATCTTCCTTCTTCTTCTTCTTCCTCATTTTCTTGTTGATCTGTGTTTTCTATTTTTGTCGCCAGCCAGGCTTGGGAGAATGTTTTTTTTTTTTTTAAAGTTACAGTCCGGGCATTTTTCAGATTGAGAAACTTCTGACGTCAGAGTCGCAGCCGTTTAAAACATCCTGCCTCTGCTGCTGACGTCTTCTATACTACTTTTTTATAAGGCAAAAATATGTATCTGACAGCAAAGTGATTATTCTGTGGGCAAAGAAGGCTGCTGCCCCTAATTCATCTATTTATGTCAGATTGTGTTTTTCTTTTTTTTCTCTTATGATCACAGCGGAAGGGGAAGCAAGAGATTTTCGTCCTCCGTTTATTTATTTATTAATTTTTTTTTTCCTGTGGAAAGGCGTTCGAGTGGAGGGCATTTTACACAAATTAAACATGCTGCTCTGCTTCGCCCTATAAGCATCCTAGGAGTCTGTGCTTACCAATCAATTGGTACAGTCAAACAGAGCCGCAGCCCGAGACAGAGTGGAGACCCTCAGTCTCGCCTTATTTCTGGATATTGGGAGACTCGCCTGCCATGTCATATCCACAATTTGGATATCCCTACTCGTCTGCACCACAAGTAAGTCCCTGAAGTTAGTTGACTTATTGGATTGTTTTTGCTTTATCTCTCTATCGATTTCGTCGCGGTGCTTTTACTCGCGGTGAGGGATGCTCGCGCTTTGGAGCTTTTAGTTACCGGGGAAGGTATTGCGTTACAGCCAGTGAGACCTCGCAGGTCAAAACGAGGGGTAACCAGAAACCACCCGATCAACCCAATCTACAAGATAATCGCTGCTCTCTAATGTCAGCCATATGTTTATTTGCGCCGGGAAAGCTGGTGCCAACTTATTCTGCAAGCTGCGTGCATGAGCGTGTGTGTGTGCGTGTGTGACTTTGTGCGCCTCCACCCAGCTGTTTAGTTTTGGCTTTGAGCCATAATAAATAAGTTTGTATTCAGAAAACCAGTGATCGACCAGGAGATGATAAGAAAACATCTAGTTTTGTAGTGTCTTTGTTTACAGACGGTTTGTTTTGGACACTTGTTTTCGCGAACTTAACTGTAAAAAGACGCGACATTGTCAGGCTGATAAAAGTCATTTGTGAAATATTTTCACCTTATGTTCAATTGTCATCGGACAGTTGCAGTAATGATCAGAACTGAGATGTTTATAATCTGTTTATAATCCCGCAGCTGCTTGTTTATATATTTTTTAAAATATATTATTTTGAGCTCATGCAATCACTTAACGCACATTAATAAAAATGCATATCAATAACAATTATCCGGTCTCTGTCCTGTAGTTTCTGATGACAACCAACTCTCTAACCACTTGCTGCGAGTCCACCGGCAGATCCATAGCCGACTCCGGGGTAGCGGCGTCCGGGCAGACACCAGTCTACTGCCCGGTGTACGAGAGCCGGCTGCTGGCCACGGCGAGGCACGAGTTGAGCTCGGCCGCCGCTCTGGGCGTGTACAGCAGTCCCTACACCGGCGGTCAAAGCTATGGGAATTATGTTACCTACGGCACGGACGCCTCGGCTTTCTACTCGCTGGTAAGACCTTCATCTGATCCCCTTTGGCATTGATGAATGGAGCCGCAGGGTGTTAAGGCTTGAGTCAGGAGCACCTCTGATCTCCAATGGTTTTAAATGCATTACACGGCAGAAAAAAAAACACCGGTCCTTTACTGTATGGTGTTTATTCCCAAATCACCTTTCAGTCTAACATAATTTTATATATAAATAAAAAATATTTGCCAGCTGAGCAAGAAATATGTTGTAGTACAGGCTTTTCTTAAGAACTGTGTTTTATTTTTATTTTTTTTAAAGCAGGGGAAACTGTGTAGAATATCAGCTTCAAACATTGTTTATTAATTTAACAAAGGTCTCTAAGATATGTTTTAATAACAGTGCAAGAATTGCTTTCATTTTGTCCTTTCACTTTTTTCCTCTTTGTTTATTGATTTGTTTCTTTGTTTTTTCCAACGTCTCAGAAACTTTCAGTAGTATTAACCCATGTGTAGATGAATTATTTATGAAAAGATATTTACTTTTTAAGATACACCCTGCCCTATTGGTTCATTTTGTGTTACAAATACGCCTGTTCTTCTAAGAAAGCAGACATGTACTACAGTTTAACAGCATACTTCCTCTTGTGTGTTTCTATAAAATCAAACCAACAGGTAAACAGCCTTTCACATGTTATTATTCTGACTCCTCTGACTGACTCTCTGTGCCAATGTCCAACGCCTGTTTTCTGTTTTCAGGGCACATTTGACACTAAAGATGCCACTGCTTCTGCACACGCTGGAATAACCCAGGCAACAGCCTACTACCCATATGACCCTGCACTGGGACAGTATCAGTACGACAGGTACGTTGTACGTGCTGTACAAGAATCTTACATTGTTAAATATAAATTAAGACTAGAACTAATAAATGCAGGTTGATGACGAGGGAGGAAAGTCAGATTCATTTTTGTTCATCAAATTGTAGAAAATAAATAGAAAGAAAAAGTTACACTGAAAAAAAGTATTAGACGATGTCATTTCAAAATAGCCTGGAATTTCCTCCTTGTGTGAATGAAAACCACAAACGAACATGATGGTTGTGATCCAAATGTTCTTTCCATCTTGATAAAGTCCAACACCACAGTGAAATATACCGTCTTTTAAATGTCTTATCGATTGGTTTTACAACCAACAAGAGATTTTGCATCACCAAAAAAAACAAAAAAAAACAAGCAGCTTTCAAAAAACGGTTTAAATTCTCACAGTGACATCACACCAAGTGCACACACAGCAAAAGGCCCGAGTCTTGAGCCAAACGTAATCTGCAACATTTAGATAAACAAGTAGGCCTACAGCAATACCACTCTGTCTGTGCCTGTCTTTTACCTGAGGGCTTATCATTACACTCAATAAAGCAATTTTACACTCTATTTTATCTAAGAGGGAACACTACAGGGTAAGAAAACATGCAGCACTTCCCTCCCTCTGATTCCCTCAGCAGTGCTTGACCTGCACCAGGCTATGGAGCAATAAAGGCCTCATAAAAGCCTCCCCTGAGAGGAGTTTTACAACTCACTGCTGACTGAAAATCAACACTGTGCATTTTAAATGCAGCTCTTTGGGATAAATTTGAACAAGGGGGAGAGGATAGGGTAGCAGACCTGCTTTGTTATGGTTTTAATATATATAATATATTATTAAAAAAAAACAAATACTAGAAAAACCCTCACCAGCACTTTGTGTTGTCCTGCCACAGTTGGTGTAGTACATCCTTTGTGGTTTTAGGCAAATTATTTTAAATATACACAATCCCAAACATAGATTTTTTTATTTTTTTCAAAGACGTTGATTTTGTCAAATTTGAATTTTCTATGTTCCCTCTCACCACCACTTTGTTTGCGTGGCTCTGGTTTACAGATATGGTTCAATGGATGGCGGAACCAGGAGGAAGAACGCCACACGTGAGACGACCAGCACCCTGAAGGCCTGGCTGCAGGAGCACAGGAAGAACCCGTACCCAACCAAAGGCGAGAAGATCATGCTGGCCATCATCACCAAGATGACCCTGACACAAGTGTCCACTTGGTTTGCAAACGCCAGGAGGAGACTGAAGAAGGAGAACAAGATGACATGGCCGCCCAGGAACAAAGGCTCAGATGAGAAGAGATATGATGAGGATGAGGATGGTTCTCAGGAGGAGCAGACAAAAAGTGAAAACAATGAGGATGGTTAGTTTCTGTTGTAATAAAGTAAAAACAAAAAATATGAAATGTTATGTTTGTACTAACGTGAGGAGGGTTTTTATTTTTTAGATTAGATTGTTCAAAATAGCACAATGACGATACTTGTTCTCCATTTACTAAATATTTAATGTCTTATCTCTCTTTAAACCAGAAACAATATTAATGCATAACGATTTTTATATTTATATTCTTTATCATGGATTTATTATTTAAATTCTAACTTTTTCGAATTTTTATTGCCATTAATTGAAATCTATTAAACCTATAATAAGGATAAAGACATAGTTCAGTGATAAAATCACACAAACTTAAAACATACATATAGGTGTTTGTAATTTTATTTTTCCTTTTTTTTTCTCTTCATTAATTTATATATATTTTTTATGTTTGCGTGCCTTTATCAATAATGGTAGTAGGCGGTAGGTAATGGTAGAGGTAGATTAGTGTAATTTTGAATTTTAATTTCCCTTTAGAATAAATAGACGACTTGTACATGTGAAATCAGTGTCAGTGGTCCACATGTTCTGTAGAGGCCTGGAGGAAGAGTGAATTCCCAATGCCTCGTCATGATATTATTAATACGTTTTTGCCACTTCGTGACAACGTATAAGTCTGTGACGTGTCTGCTGTTTGTTCCCCTTCTCCCAGAGACCAGAAGTCGCGCTGATAAGGACCTGCAGCTGAGCGACTTGGACGATTTCGACACGCTGGAGTCGGAGAACTCCGAGTGTGAGCTGAAGCACCGTTACCACATGAACACGCACATGTCCACGACAGGCGACTGCCCCACTGAACACCTCTTAAAGGACTCGTCCCTGAAAATCTCCATCCCGGTCTCACTCGGTGGGGACCAGGACTTGAGCAAAAGCTGCCTCAAAACGAACCCAGAGGATTTCCAGGGCGACAGCAGACCGCAGGCCAAGGTGTGTTACAACCAGCAGCAACAACAGGGGCATCAGATACTAGACGGCAAACCCCGAATCTGGTCTTTGGCCCAGACCGCCACATCCCTGAACCAGACTGAGTATCCGTCCTGTATGCTGAGATGCCAGGCGCCGCCCTCCTCCCTCAGCCCTTCCCCTGCCGCTACCTCTCCTGTAATCGGCCTGGACAACAGGCAGGACTCGCCTGTCACTACCCTGAGAAACTGGGTGGACGGGGTTTTCCACGATCCCTTGTTTAGACACAGCACTTTGAGCCAGGCCCTGACCAACACTACCGTGTCTTGGACCACGAACACTAAAGGTACCATCCTGGATTCTGACAGGAGCGTTTCCATCCTCCAACAGCAGCAGCAGCATCAAGACCCCAAAGACAGTGCAATGAGTTTTCCCAAAACCACCAACAAGCTTTTCTGCTCATAACAAAACCAAATGGCTCATTAAATGCAAAAAGGGAAAGACTTGGGACTGAGTTCAACTTGGTTGGGAAGAAAAAGCCTGTCACCCCGCCCTCCTTCGATCTTCGTCATGATTTTAAAGAAATGGTAGCTATGTATAATGTTTCATTGGCGTCACGTCAGTAAAATATCCAAATCAGTTTGGCTTCTTTAATTCAACGCACGAACAAAACCGCCAAAATGTATAAAAAGTTTACATCTTTAAAAGAAAAAAATAGGCCTAAAGTTTACATGATTCTTTTTTATTATCATTATTATTATTATGCGCATGCAAATGTACTTAAATATAATTTAATTGACTCGGCAGTTGAGTGTCACTGTTAAATGAAAAGAAAGTCACAACATGCACAGCTCTGGGAGGAAGTGGAAGAGAGCATTTTAACTTTGTTCACTGAAAATAAAAAAATCAGTTTCTGGAGGTGTGCTGTTGGGTTTGGTGCTGAGCGGTGCTGTCCGTGGTGCTGAACAACAGGCTTGGCGTTTGTTTCATTGAATGTCGTGTTTTGTTCATTTATAAGACCACACTCACCGCTGTAAACATTTTCCTCACTTCTCGTGGCATTTTGTAGCAGCTCATCAAACCATCTTTTTTTTTCTGTTTCAGCGCAATCACAGCGTTCACTCCGCTTTAGTGACAGTGAGGAAACGAGGCAGCTCCAACCTCCAGACAGAGCAATATCAGAATCTAAGTTCTGCCTCATTAATTCCCTCTAAACAGGCTGTAATTGGGATGTTCGCAGTCATATTTCATGTCAGCCTATTGATTTCCCCTCCGTGCTCTCTGATAAAATTATCGAAACATCTCAACAGCGCCCATGATGCAGCTGTCAAAAGGGTAAGTTATTCGCCATATACGTCCATTAATGGGTTCAAACGGGAGGCCCTGTGAAATAATTTGAAGGGAGTTTTCGTTTTGACACTAACCCCTCAATTTCCTGGAGACGTGGGTTCTACTCAGGAAGAAAAAAAAACAAAACAAAAATAAAAAATAAAAAAACAGCCTGGATGCTGAAAAGTTAAAGGGCTTCATACAGGAGAGACCCTCCCGACGTCTAAAAGTGAAAAGGGCAAAGGAACTCGAATTAGTTGTTGTAGATAAAAGGGCAAAACGAAAGGAGTCAAGGGTACTTGACAGTAATGGCGAAAGTGGAGCTCTCGGGGGACTCTGTCCTGTGAGGTGGGAGGAGAGGGGGCGTCAGTGATGAATTTTAATAGGAAAGGCACGATTGAGACCTTCACCCTTTCTAGGAAAAAAGTACTAGGGTGGACAAAGGGGATTTTCTGTTGATCAAAAACAGAATATCATATATATATATTTATATTGTCTATTGCCCACATCACCTTTATTTATATATATATACATGAGAGTTCGAGAGAACAGAGACCTGTTATAACCACTCGGCCGTGGCAAATTCGAACACACAGAGGGAGCGAGACGGTAAATTAACGGAGAGCTTTTTACATAGAGACCAAATAAAACTGTAATCAGCGACGCGTTACTTTTCATTAAGCAGTTTTGACAGCAGCATATTCAGCTACTACGACACCGGAGCAAGGTCCAGGGCTGAAATAAACTGTTCTCAGAGCGGGAGTCATAAGATAATTCCTTAAGCTCCATTAACAACTCTTAGCCGCAGGAAATGGGCTCCCCCTGAAAACATCTCCAAATCTAAAAGCTTTATCGACCTGGCAAACCTCGACTGATGGCTTCTTTTTTTTTCCCCCCCCCCCCCTCTCTTCTCTTTTTCCTTCCCCCTCCTTCTCTTTCTCTCCCCTCCCCTCCCTCCCCCCCCCTTAAACGCCTTTAAACATTACCAATTAGGTTTAAAACTTGAAAAAGACACACGGTTTTTGGCATATGATGGGACGTTTAACTGAGGCAAAAAGCTCCGTCACTTTAGGCAGCGTGTTAAAGTGAGCACAGCGCAGAGTTACTGGTCTGAAGTCGACGGTTATGCCAGTTTGTATCTCGTTTAGTGAGAAAATATCAAACTCCCTTCCCCAGAATAGTTTCTGTCTGCAACTCCAAGTAATGGATCAAAACAAAGTAGGACTGCATTATGGGAGGTGCAGGTTAGTTAAAACATTAAGGAAGTCATGACACTTCTGGGTGTCTCAAACCAAGAGTAGAAACCACTGCTGAATGTGCATGACTCTCACCAGTTTACAATCTGTAGGACATTTAGACAGACATTTGCTCAGATTAAGACAATGTCTTTAGGATCTCTCATACTTCATTCCCAAACTTTTTGTCTGGGGAACTGCATTTACAAACCTTCGCAACCCAAGTCAATAGACATTATTTGTAAACTAAATAATGTCTATTAATAAAACAAAACTTAAAAAAAAGACTCTTGCGACCCACCTGAGGGTCGCAACCCAGTCTTTGGGAAACAATGACTCAGAAAAGCAGTGTTTTATAGACAGGGAGTGTTTTTTTTTTGTTTTTGTTTTTTTTATGGCCCTGGCCACACTTCACATTTGAAGCAAAACGGCCTGTCACATGATGATGATGATGATGATGATGATGAGAATTATACAAATCTTTAACATCAACTATAAACAGCTCTGGTGTTTTATGCATCAAAAAGGAACAAAACAATTCTGTGGTGGCTGGAATCAGGGTGGAGGTGGAGGGTTTCTGGGACAGGTTCATATCACAATGACCCTGAAGAATAAATATATTTACACACCATTACACATGAACACACACGGTGACACAAACATACGCGTACACACACACACACTGAGGGGTTTCAGGCTTAATTGAATATTTATTCACCTCTTCATTGGCTAATATTAATACGGTGAGAACAACAGGGATGTAATCAAAGCCTAAAATGGAAATATGAAGCATGACCACAAACAACGCTGTTCTGCCCCCTCCTCGCCCTGACCCCCCTCCCCCCACCTCAACCACCACCCACAAACATGCATGTACACAAACCGTGCCCTTGTGACCGGTATCAAGGATCAATGCAGTGGCCTTTTATTCCAATTAAAAGCAACATTACTCTAAGGAAACAAATCTGTATTCACACCCAGAATAACCTAAGCAGCCTATAGATGTGTGCTAACATCATTTTAATACAGAAAAAAGTGAGGATTTAATCAAATCTAAATGTCAGCTGACCAGAATGCCTGGCACGGAGGCTGGTGGAAAATTAATATATTGATACAGTGCAGAAAAATAACTCAGTGGACGAGTTCAGAGAGTGAGGAAGCTGAAAAGTAAGACACCATTAAAACATCAGTTTGGTTTGGAGGGTGAAAAAACACCAGTGATCATCAACCAGTGGCCCGCGGGCCAAATCTGGCCCAGTAAAAAGTCAAATCTGGCCCGTGACTGGTTTTATAAAATCAACATCAAATTACAATGTTGGACAAAAAAAAAATATTTTAAATTAATTTTATTTGAGTGTCAATCCCCCAGCGTCTTTGATTACAACAATTCTGGAGCTTCGACAAATATAGGTGGTGACCCCTGCTATATGCATTTATCAAAGATTTACTGGTTGTAATTAAAAAATAATGAAATTGTATAAAAAATAATGCAGAATCTCTTTTTATTATTGCTCATGTCATTGCTATGTCAAATATCATATTTTATCATCTGAAGTTTTATAATATTTATACAGTTCTATATATCGTGGCAACGCAACAACAAGTCTGTGTGTATGGCTGGTAGTGTGTGTGTGTGTGTGTGTGGCAGCTTCAGTTCTGCTGCTGCTGAGAGAACATGTCCAGGATGTGCCTGTAGGACCCGGTGAGTGGCCTCTATCAGTTCCTCACCACCAGCACCTCCCTGCAGTCATTCCACAGGTCAAGAGGTTTAAGTCTGAGGGGCATCTGTTTCCAGCGTTTCAGTGGTCTCACCCTGACTGACTGACTCACTTTGAGTGTGTTTCCCTGATCCATAATCAGTGGTGTTGAGGAAATGGCTCTCCACACACACTGTTTTTTATCCCCTATTATTATTATTATTATTATTTTCATAAAAGGATTCTCATGGCCTAATCTTGATCTGAATACAGATTCATTTCACACAGAAGTCTTGTGCCTCCTCGGTTTCCTTACGATGTTAAAGCGGATGCAAAAGAAATAATATTCTTGTCCTCACACCCACTCAAGGTTGGTGAACAGGTCAAGAGCAGCTAACCATGGGTCATCACAGCACACTTCAATGCTGTCAGACTATTTAGATGTGAGTGAGACTCTGATACTGTCTGCCGTCTCTGTCTGCTCATTGTTATGCTCTATATTTTTTGCCCATTCATCAGAAGTGATATGAAACTTCAGTGAGAGACATGGAGCAAATATCCCACTCACTTTCTAAAGTCATTAGCGTGTGTTCTTTCTACCTGACTGGTGGAAGTTTGTAACCTGCTATAAAAACATTTTATCCTTAAGAAAATAAATCAAGATTAAAATCTCTGTGTGTAATCCAGCTGTAGGTTTGGTTAATATAAAGAGAAAAAGAAACACCAACTGTTTGACTTTTTTTTATTGTGTGGCGTTGAAGTAATTGCTAAAGGTCAAAAGAGACGGTGTTTTACCAACACATTTGTGTTTATCATTCAGGACAGATCAATACAATATTGTTGTTTTAAAGAACAAAAGCCAAGGGAGACTTAACACTGACCTTTCCTTCCATTTTCTATTGTTTGCAGGAGGTTGGAGGAACATACAAATGAGGTCGAAACAAGACGGTTACACAAAGTGAAAATGTAAGTCCTAACAACGAATGATCAACCACACGTGTTGTGCTGTATTAAAAGTTAGAAACCCACCATAGTGTCAAGAATCTAGATCCTCCAGGTGAGACGTGTTGCATTCAAGAAGTAATTTAAAAAATAGTAAATTACTAAAATTAATAAAAGTAAAATATGCTGTTATATTCTATTGTTACTTTCACATAAAAGAGATACTACAATTACATATACAACAATGTCATATATACATTTATACTATATATATATATAGATTAAATGTATATATGAAATTGTTGCTTTTTTGAAACATTGCAAAAAATACTTCCGTATATGTGATATTAGGTAAGATGGTGCTTCCCTTATAGGATCCATATGTTGAACAATGTCAGAGACTGTAGTTTTATGTCCTTTTATAAAAGTTATAATTGTCATGTGTTTAAAATGGAGAAAGGTGGAAAGAAAACCAGTCCACAACCAGACTTTATCAACATTCCTGTCAGGCCTGCAGCTCAATACAGGATGTGAGGGAGAAAAAGCCTTTTCCAGTTTTAATTCCCCTCCTGCTTTGATGTGTGTCATGAGTTGTCTTGTTAGACTATTTGCCAATTAGTTTTTCAGAGAATCATCTGTAGTGTTTTACCTGTCGTGCTGGCATATCAAGGTTTTTTTTCCGCTCCCTTCAAGTGCTGTGTTGACCTTTTAAGTCTCATTATAGGGAAAAGTTTCAGCATTGGCACTTCCATTATGTGAAAATGGAGAATGGGTGTCATCTGACGCTGTCTTTCAGAAACAATCGTTTGTGATGAAGAATGTTGAACTGTTCTACCAAGGCTGCCTTTTTTCTCTTGTGTTGCTTTTTGTTTTATTTACCAGTTGGTATTCAGGTGGCAAATTGATTACTTTGTTAAATAATTATGTGAGAAAAATCAGATTTGTTTTTCACACGGGTGACATTGTGGCTACTTTCTACTTTCTTTTCGTTTCTGGCAGTTGCGAGACCTGTGCTGCATTCAAGAACTCATTTTAAAAATACATATGAAAACACTGACAATGTTTTGTCTAAATTAGTAAAGTATGCTAAAATATGACCTTGATCACATAAAAAAGGAATATTTTTATATCCTCTCCAGTGACCCTCGCCTCTCTCCCACTCCCCTAACTGTAGTGCATGGACTTGGCTTTGTGTTGTTTTTTTGTGATGGGGAATTTTAGTAGATTTTTATATATGTTTTGTGTTTTTCACAACATGAAGTGAGTTTCTGTGATCATCCGTTTACTGTTTCTGATGCTCAGCTGTGGCTCAACCTCTGATTGGTGCTCCTTCTCCTACCAGGTCTTGATTTACTCTTATCTTGTTCTAACTTTTCAACTGTGTTGCAGATTTTCTTTTTTAATATTTCAACGGTGGAACTATGTTTATAAAAAATAGAGAAGAAATTAATGTGAATGTGAAAATTCTGCTTTTTTCACCGAGCTCAGTTATTTCGTGGAGTGTCTGGTCCCTCTCCAGGTTTGAGAAGGCAGAGTTGTTCCAAAATAGCATCTCTAACAAGTCCCGCAGTGAGAGGGAGAGAGACACCTTTGTGGGCCCACTGCTCAGGGGCTACAACATGTAGTGTGACGACTCAGTAATTCCAACAGGTCGACTTTAGACTATTTGGAGAGTTTTGAGAGACAGCTCGGCCGACTGTGAGAATGTGCTGTGAAGCACCAGGTGATTTTCTGTCTGCCACGTGTCTCAATCAAGTCTAATGCCCACTTCCTGTCTTTACCCGTCACCATCTCCTTCCTCTTAGTTTCCTCCCAGCATTTGATCTATTCCCACCTGAGGTGGAGGGAGGGAGAATCATTCCGCCTCCAAATTGTGATGAGTCAGCCAAGCGATGTGCGTTCCACCTTTTCCAGAGATAACTGTTTGAGTCAAACCTACACGATGTAGTCTCTCCTGACAATCCGCTGGGAGAACAG